GAGGTCTTAATTGTACTCACAAAAACACAGTTAGAAGCCAGTGAGGCACCTGGGACTAGCCCCATCTGGTGCTCTCTTTCCCTCAAAGAAAAGTCAGGGGCATTTCTAGAGCCCACTGCTTGTCAGTTAGCCTCTCCTGATGACCTCCCTTGCCTCCGGGGATGGTAGAAGTGTCTGGCCTCTGCATTACCTGCTCTCCTGACTGTATCACCCAGTAGGGGCTCAGCTCTGATTGCATTCAGGATGCCTTCCCTCCAGTGAGGTGATTTCCATAGAATCTGGAGTACCTGCCTCCATGCCTCACGCTGCCAACCACACAGAACCTTCCCACACTGCAGTTTAATCCTGTTACATGCCTCCTCCCACTCTCTCCTCCCCCGGCCAGCTACTAGGCCCTTCCACTCAATGCTTACCCCTCAGTCAACCCTGTAACAGGAAGAATCAGTGGATGGCACACAGGCCTGTTGCCAGACCAACTAGGTAAGTCTGGGAGGCAACGGCCGTGCCCTGCAAAGGTCTAGGCCAGAAAGCCAGGCTGGGGCTCGGGCTTTGTGATAGAGGATGAAGCCCTGACGCCCATCCCCAACAGGAGAGCAGAAGTTAGGTCAAAGGACAAGGGAGGAACACTCGTGACCGGGTGTGACTGAGGTGCAGTGTGACTGCAGAGGAGCAGGTAGGCCACAGCCAAGGAGTCAAGGGCTTTTACTTAGCACACAGTAAGCCGAGAAAAGCTAAACTGATTTTCCTTTTGCAGCAAACACACGTTTCTTTTTAATAAAAAATATTTGACTATATTATAAAAATGAATATATATTAGGCAAGCACATACAAGGCAGAGCATAAAAGAGACAAAAAACACCCATCATTGCTTTCTGCAGGCAGAGACTGTTCCTGTCACGGTGGCTGGCACGGGAGTTTGCTCACCCAGGGCTGGGGAGCCAGGGAACCTAGCTCCAGAAATGTTGGCTGCTAGTCCCTAGGTCACAGATCAAATGCCAAAACAAGTAACACCAAGCTGTTAGCAGCCTGGGTGCAGGCTCAGCCATTGGGCAGAGCAACCTGGGGATACCCAAGGATCAACTTAGGCACTGGGCAGCCTGCGGGAAGCCTGGATCTGGTTGTAAGAGCTGAGCCACAGGTGGTGATGGCTTTGCCCATTGTAGGCTTTGCCTGACTGACAAGGGCATCTCTCCCCTGCTCTGAGGTCGTCTTCTGGTTTGGCCAGGAACATAGCACCATGGGAGTTTCCCAGCAGCATGCAGACTCTTCTAGGAAGCTGGACTCCCTTACACAGTGAATAAAGAACTCAGGGACCAAGGGCTTAAGTGACCTCGTTAGGGACACATTCTCGAGATATAAATACAGTTCTGGTCAGTTCCTAAGATTGTGCTTACCCTATTACCCACAGCAGCTATGGGAGGTGGTGAACGTGGCTGTAACCCAGGAGCCCGGCTTATTCCCGAACCACTGCCCAGGCTGCTATCGAATCCTCTCCTGATTCCCAGATAGCTGTGCAGCCCTCCTCCCAACCAACTCACTACAGGAGAAGTGGCTTTGGAATCATGAGTACACATGTGTGCGCGCATGCATGTGTGCGTGCGTGCGTGCCTGTGTGTGTCTCAGAGGACAACATCTGGCTCCATTTCTCAGGCTCTGTCCACATTGTTTTTGAGACAGGGTCTTTGCTAGCAAGGAGCTTTTCCAAACAGGCTAGGGTACCTGGCCAGGAAAGCCCTGGGACCTGCGTGTCCCTGTTCCAGGATTGTAAGCATGCATCCTTATGCCTGACTTTCCTGGCTCCCTTTCATGGGTCCTAGAGATCAAACTCATGTCCTCCTGCTTACAAGGCAAGCACTTTACCAACCGAGCCATCTCCTCAGTCCTACTACTGGAGAAGTTGGACAAGAGCACAGGTGACCGGCTCGAGCTTTCCCCACAGATGCCCCTGTGGGTAGGCTAAGAGGACCAGAAGACAGGTTAGTAGCATCCCACTGAGGTGGGATGTACAATCCAGTGCTACCATGGTACTAAAGAAAAAGCCCTACTCTAGGCCCCCAAGGGCTGCCTCTGCATATCTCACACAGCTCACCCCAGACTCCAGTGCAGGCCAGTCCTGGGAACGTTTCTTCAGTCCTGGGCAATATCCCCCACGTAGCTGGCACCTGCTTAGTGCCCACCATTCTGGCCCAGATGGACATGGTGGCCTCTTCTAAGTCCCCTTGCTTCTTGCCTTCCCTCTCCAGTCAGGTTCTAAATTGCAGCTTACAGTGTTAAAGCCATGCTTGACCACTGTCCACCAAGGTTTAGACCTCAGCAAAAGTGCGCCCCCCCATAGCTCACAGGTAGCTTACAGATTAATCCTGGATCTGACACCAGTTCATCCCAACTCTCCCCACTTAAAATACCCCTGGAAATTAGGCACAGAGTCCCTGTGTCATATCTTAGGAGTGTAAATCAGGAGCCCACATGCTAGACTCTGCACTCCAGCTTCCCATGAGTTAAAGGTTCTGGTCACAGCCTACCTGTGCCTTGGGATAGCAGGGTTTACCCCTTCGCAGGCCTTTCAAGGCAGTTCCCAGAAGGGAGACAAGGCAGAGGACTTGGGCAGGAGAGGCCTCAACAATGTAAGCCTCTCCTATGCACCGTATTCCTGGGGGAATGGAGAGCTTTGGGAGGAGAGGAAAGGAGCTGGCAGGCACTACGGCTCCAGCTTGGATGAGTCCCCTCTGGAGTGGATCCAGAGGGGCCGAGGCTGCAGGGAAGTCACAGTGAGAGCAGCAATGAGGTAGACAGGAAGCCCCTTTCTGTTCCACCCCATCCTCACCAGACTTCAGGTCATGCACAGGAGCCACCGAATACTCGCACAGAGACAGAAGCACCCTTATTTTTGCAGATGAGGATGCTGCGTGATTTGCCCGAGACCTGAGGCCTTGAATCCACATTCCCACCACACAGATCACCACTTCCCTGCCACCTCGATCAGGGCTTGAAGAGGAGCAGGCTAGTGGTGGCAGGGTGGGAGCTGAGTGGACAGTCTGGGCAGTTTGCCACTCTACCTTCCCACCCCCAGCCCCCGAGAATTTAGAGTTCAATATAATTGACTGTGAGGTGACAAATCTCTGCTTTGAGCACTACAATCATTCCTCATGGGATTGCTAGGTCTGCAGGAACAGGTCACCAGGCAGTGAAGCCTCCCTCAGAGCCAGAACCGGGCCTAGGCCCGTAGATCTGGCCCAAAAGTGCAAAACCTCCCTTGGTGACCACATAGGTAGATGATGGGATGGGCAGGGATGCAGAGGACTGAGAGGTACCCCAGGGAGAATGAGACCATTCAACTCATCCGAGGTCTATAAAGGGACAGGAACTGGCCCAAGGTCACCCATGAAGATGAGCAGAACTGGGCGAAGTCTTGATTCCTCCATCTGTGCCCACATTCTCTGTAAGTTCTATGTCCATGCTAGATGCCTGTGCTGGCACAGCAGAGGCCTCGGGCTCTGGGCACCTCTCTCGCTCGAGGAAGAGGAGAGGGTAGAGAAATTATAGCGTGGCCTGGGCTCCTACATCTCCTGGCAGGAACTTGCCCCAGAGAGCCAGTGAGGTTCTCCAACTCCCCACCCCCAACAGGTACTCCAGGCACCCAGTTTGGGAACTGTGCCTCCTCCCAGACCCTACACCCTCCAGGCTTTCCAAATGGGTCAACACCAACCAGCCCTACAGGAGCTCAGGCGATGGGAACCAAGACCGCAGCCCAAGACCACGCTATCTGTCTCCTCTATGGTACGAGACAAAGGTACCACAAATGACTACCAAAGAGAGGGAGAGGGAGAAAGGGAGGGAAGGGGGAAGTGAGCCCTGGCCTCAGGAATGGGAAGGACTCAAAGCCACGCCACACAAAGTCGTGTTCATGGGCGGTTTCAAGCACATTCTGCTGGCCAGAGGTGTCGAGTTAGGAGAGCCTTGGAGAGCCTTGGTGTGAAGTCTTTATACTCCCTTCTATCTCAAGAAGGTGGCGGTGGGACGATGGGCCTGTGTGCTTTTCTGTAGCCGTAAACTTCTAGGAGGTGGACACTGGCCCTGAAAACCTGCCAAGAACTTGATCAGCATAGGAAGGTGGGACCACAAGGGAGCAGCCTGGTGCTCTCCGGCAGACCCCTGAACACTAGCTTCCCCCAGCAGGGGCAAGGGAACATGCTGGAGCCTGAGACTTGTCACCCAGGGTTTCTTGCCTGAGTCCTATCAGCAGAGTCACGTGAACTCATGTGACCCTGGCCTAGGGAGAACAAGACATTGAGTAGGGTGAGAGAGTGGAGGCAGGAGGATGGACATGAACCTGCTTTCAGAGGTTTGATGTTTTAGGGTGTGTCATTTCCGGCTTGAAAAATACAACTGCCAGCCTACCGTGCTCCTCCTGTCCTCAACAATGTGGGAAAGAGATGACAGTGGCTCCACCACCTGTTAACTGTGACCTTGGACAAGAAGTCAAACTTCTCTAAGCCTCAGTTTCCTCACCTGTACAAAGGGGCCCCCGCCCTTTCACACAGACGCTGAATAGAATGGATGTCAGCAGTGGCCCAGGTCAAGCACGCAACACCAACCTGGTGGGAAAGCGGATCTCACCAAGGAACCAAACATCTCAATTTGGTTTCCAGGCAGCAAAGAATGGATGGAGCCAGGCTTCCAGTCTCTTCGGACAAACTTCCTCTCCCCATACCCCTTCCCCTAAGCAGGCCACCCTTGGAGGGAAACAGAGCCTCTCTTCTGTCAGAGGGTTCCTCTGTCTTTTGGCTAGGACCCCACTGCCCATCTCAGGGCACTTGGAGGGTGGGTCGCATTGGGATGGGGTATGCTGTACAGGCACCTGTATAGGTCAGAGCACCTGATGCAAGGTGGCTAGGGCAGGCTGCAGTAGGAACTCCTGATGAGGTGGGTGCAGAGCCTGGACTTCCCATCCAGCTTCGCCTGCTCTCACACCGTGACCTGCGCACCCACTCGGCCCTTACCTTGAACCATGGGAACCACGCTGCCCCGGCTGGCGGAGGACTTGGACACACGTGACAGGGCGGGCGTCCCTCTGTCCCGGGCACAGAGTAGCCGCAAATGCAGCCCAGGCCACGGTCGGTAGTGCCTGCTGGGACCTGACTGGTAAGGAGAGCGCCGAGAGGTTCCTGGAGGCCCCAGAGGAGGCAAGTGCGTGGCCCGGCGAGAGCCCCTGCCAGCTGCGCGTTGCAGCCACAGCTCTGGAGCCCAGCTGCCTCCCTGAGAGCTGCACGCGCGACTCCAGCCCAGTCCCGGGCGCGGGGCGCGCGCTGGAGGGGAGGGCGCGCGCGCTAGCCTGCTGAGGAGTGCGCGCTGCGGGCCCCGCGCGCGCTGCTGGCGGCGACTGCGGGGGAGCAGCCGAGGAGCTGTCCCTGGTGCTGACGCTCAAGCGCGGTCCCCCGCGGCTGCACCCATAGGCAAGATCTGGGGACCCACATTTCAGTGCGCGCCCTGCGGGGTTCTCGCTGATCCTCCACCAATCTGTTTCTGTCTCCTTGATGTTTGGTCTCGGTGGCGATGGGATTTGCCTGGCTGTGGACAGCGCAACCTTGGAGCAGGTCCCTGGTCCTTCTTGTTTCTGGGATAACTGACAGCAGGGCCTTTAAGGCTGATCTAAAACTGAAAGGCGAAGATGATAGGCATAGCACAGCCTAAGTGCTTGATAAATGCTCATCTTTGCTCTTTTTTGTTTCCATTCTCTGGGTCGGTCTCATGTAGCCCTGGAGGGCACTGCATAGTCTCCGTACTGGGCTAGTTGGTGACTGGGGTCTGTGACCGATTGCGGTTTTTAGCCATTGGGGAGGAAGCAAATCTCTGCTACTTAACCCCCAAGTGCCGCATTCGGCCAGTGTTTGGAAGATAATGCAAGGCAGGTTTGCGTTGGACATGAGAAACTTTCTGACTTTTCCTCTTGAGAAATATGGCCCCATCCATGAAGATACTCAGGAGTGCATTGTGTCTGCAGACCCAACCTGAGGGGCATATATATAGAACAAGGCTTTGAGTTAGAATCCACAACGCTCTGAGAAACCTTCCTGGAATACTAGGAGTGCCCTAGGAATGCCTGACTGTGCTGCGATTGACCTGACGCTCTGTAAGAGGCGATGTCCTGGTGGGAAGGGCATATGCCAGCCCATTCTGAGGGGCCAGAGAGCTGGTGGAATCTCCTTCCCCTTTGCCCGCTAGTGGGACATAAGAGAACCAGCAACTCATTCCAAGATGGTCACAGGGCCAATGAAGCAGGTGCTTCAGCAGACACCTGCACGCTCCCGCATGCCAGCTTCCCTGCTGGGTCCCTCCTAAGGGTCTTTACTGAGCTCCCCAGTGATACTCAAATTCTTGGTGCTTGAGAGCTTCCTTACAACAGGCTGGCAACATCCTTCATCCCACTAAAGTACCGGGAAGAGCTGACCCCTGCCTTTAAGTATCTTCACCCCTTGCAAGATGGGTAATTAATTGTCACCTGCCTCATTTCTCCAGGGACTGGTGGCTGCGTTTGATTCATTAATTAACTGTACTCAGAGCCTGCTTGCAGAGGCTCTTATCTCACAGTAAACACCACGCGTTAGGTGCTCAGTGCCTTCCAGACGCAAAGCTAAACCCTCGCAAACATTGTCTCGTTTAGCCGGCTCAGTGATGGCCATGGAGATCCAGCCGGAACCCAGATTGCAAGTGAGAAGGAACAACAGGGTCCTTGGCGGCAGACCAGAGCTGGGGCTCCTCAGCCTGATTGTGGGTCTCCCACACTTGACAACAGTCCCACTCAGAGGCAGGACAATGGACTCCATAGAGAAGATTATATATAAGGGGAGGGTAGAGAGCCCCAGAAAGCACCAAGGAGAAAGCACAGACTAGGCAGCCAATCAGCTCCTGTAACCTGTTTTTAACCGTCTCAATCAGGACTTCTTGGCTTTAGGTGATTATCTCAGATCCTTAGATGCCATCAAATGCGTGCCAAGAATTTCTAAAGGAGCCTCACCACCAAACCACACTTCTGCCCACCAGTTCACCCACACTTCCACTTCTTCACAAGCCCACATCCACCCCAGTGAGTGTGGTAGCCACGGTCTAGCAGCCAAGCACCCAGGAAGTGGCTTGACCTTTAACTCTGGGCTCCAGGGTCCTAGGCAGAGCAGAGAGGTGCATCTTCAGAACTTGTGGCGGTGTGACTTTATTTAAGTGTTATCCATCTCATTTAAACCATGAATGGTTTCAATGACCCACAGCATGCACAGTAGACACCTTGTGTGTGGGGGTGTGTACACATGTGTACTGGTGTGCCCAAGCATGTAGAGGTCAAAGGTCAACAATGATGATCTTCCTCTGTCACTCTCATTGAACCTAGGATTTGCCATTTCATCTAGATTGACTGGTCAGTGAGTAAGCAGGATCCTCCCACCTCTGTTTTTCCCCAAAGCTGGGGTTACAGACACATGCCGCCATACCCAGCTTTTGATGGGTTTTGGGAAGCAACACTCAGCTCCTCATGCTCACACAAGTGTCATTATCTGCAGAGCCATCCCTACAGCCTTTATTGCCTTCACTTCGAAATGTTAACAGAGAGGTGAAGTGACTTCCCCGAAGTCACACAGCCAACAGAGAAATGCGCAGGGCAGATTTCATTTGGATTGTGATATAATGGTCACCACTCAGCTACCTTTTTGTGTATGAAAGCATGCCTTGATTTTATGTCTTAAACTCATTTCTAAAATTAGAAAAGGGAAGACTACGGAGGAGCCTCTGAGCTGACTTCATAGAAACAACATAACATACCATCAAGTTTCCTGAAACAGCAAGTTCTGGTACAAAAAAAAAAAAAAAAAAAAAGAAGTCTAGCCCCACTCAGTTCTTCAGACTGGTCAGCAGTCGCCCCACTAAAACAGGCTTCCCAGTTGCGTGTCAACTTTTGTCCTGTCCCAGGCGTCTTTCCACAACATACAGTTTCGTGGATGTAACCCAAACCCAACAGATGGTGGAGGTGTTGAAATCTGTCCAGCAGGCAGCAACATGTGGGGCCGTTTGCAAGGCTTGCTTTCCAGTCTGGGCAAGTGTGGCTTTAGTGGGAGCAGCCTTTTATGCTAGGGAAAGAGGACCTTTGGGTGGGCTGATAGATGAGCAACTTCAGGGCTGATGGCTGAGAACACTTCATGAGAGGCAGGGAGACCAAATAGTTCTCTCCAGTGCTCTGCAAATAACCAAACTCTCTGGTGGGGTGTGGGAGAAAAATTACTAGTGATTATAAAGGACAATGAGCACCTGGCCATCCTTACACACCCCCAATCACCGTGGGTTAATATCTTCAATACAACAGGGTCTTGAGCCACTACAGAGCCAATTTCTTTGTGTCTCTGTGAAAGAGTTTATAGACTGGGATAACTGTGATTGGAAAACACTCTGGGTATGAGAATACCAGTCTGCCGGCTAGAATCCTGGGATGAATAAAAGGGAGGAATGAGCTGAGCACCAGCGTTCATTCTTCTCTGCTTCCTGGACACAGATGTGCTGTGACTAGCTGGCTCAGGCTTCTGCTGCAACGCCGTCTCCACCATGATGGGATGTGCGGTCAGATGGTAAACCCACATCAGGAGTCTTGTCACAGCGGGAAAAGAAGAAGTCAATCCTGCAGCCACCCACGTGTTGTGCAATGGGCACTAGGTCCTCTGGCTCAAAGGGCATGCTCCCAGCTTCTGCTCATGACTGGGAGCATCGTTCTGCAGCGTGGAAGGCATGAAGTACTCCTGCAGGAAGGAGGCTTCTGCCAGGACCTGCAGAGCCAGGGCCAGGAACAATTTCCAAGTCTCTTTCAGGGAACCCTTGGAAGGAAGGAGCTTGAGACTCCAGAAATATCATAGTGAAGGCTGGTGGGGACCCTTTCTGTCCTGGACACCTGGGAGATTTTTGGAAAGGTGCTGGCTGGTGGGAAAGTATAAAAGTTTCTATTGTTGAACACTGCCTTGCTCTCTCAGGCTGCAGGCATGAGGGGCTCAGAAGTTGATTTAACATGTCAGGGGGCAGCACCGTGTGTCTACCCAACTCCAAGTGATCTTCTGAGGTCAAGACCGCCCAGACAATGACTGAATTAAATATAATCAGGGGCTCAGACACTATCAGGCAACTGCAATTATTTTGTGTTGTAAGGCAGAGTCACCCTCACATCTCAGATCAAGAGCTGTTAGACTTGGCAGCTTTGAGGCACAGCCAGGAAGATGAACGTGTTGGAGAGAGCAAGAGGATGGGACAAGTGTGCAAGAGAAGGGAGACTGTGAGTGGGCGGGGTGCACACAGGGATGCGAAGCCCACGGGGATGGGGGGTGAGTCTCTTGGAGTTCCCAACAGAAGCCTCGTCTCTTTGGAAAGCGCTTGCGGTGGCTTCTAATTGCTGCCACATCCTAAAACATTGTGACAGAGCTCAATGTTCTCATTCTTGAGAGAGCATGGAGGATGACGGATGGGGAGGGTAGTGCATGGGGATCAGTCCTGAGCCTCTTGGGGTTCCTTGTGTGAGTCACAGGCTGGGAAATCTTGATGGCGGGGGAAGGCAGAATCGGGGTTTATTGTCCTGGAACCTTCATTGGCTCTCAGGACATTTCACTCTAGAGAAGCCTTAACTGGAAGGGTCCTGATCAGTCCCTCATTTCCCCTAGGCGACTGGCCCCAGCAACCCAGAAAGCTGGATCATTCGAGCTTCATTCATTCCTTCACCATACACTCTGGATGTGGTGAGAGCAGAGGAAGAGCCTTTGTGTTCTGGGAGCTCAAAGTTGAGCGATGCCTCACAACAGTGAGGTCCTTGAAGTGATTGTTGGCAGCTGGGCATCTCTCCTATGCTGTCGCATCCCTGAAATATGTTGACAGTGGCAAGTGGAGAACTGGTCTTTCCTTTGGCAACTTCACAGCAAGGAGCCTGTGACAACAGCCAGGCCCACGGGTCTCTGAAGTCCTTGCTGGTAAGATCTTGAGCCCAGAGTGGCACCCTCCATCTCTTATGATTTAAAAAAAAAAAAAACATAAAAATGAGAGACTGACTTTTTGATTTATGTGAACCCCAAGTTAAAGCACGCCCCTGCTTCTCCTCGTGCTGCTTTGTGAGACGGTGCACACTGGGGTTTAATAAAAGCCTGACACAGAATCTCTTCCAGGATTGACACATGCTAATACGGCGACTTGACAATAGACTGGCAAGACAGACTGAAGCCCGTTTGCTCCTGCGAAAGACGGAGTCTTTCTCCTGGGCTGGAGTCTGCAGGCAGAGCACTCACCATCAGCTTTG